TATATATATATATATATATTGGAAAAAATATTTCCATCTCTGAAAATTCTTAAAAGTGAATTTTTGGAAAAACATGTACAGGTCACCTGTAAGCTTAACAAGATGCAGTTGTACACTTTAAAATTTTAAGTTAAATAATTGTAATGTTTACAATAGACTGTGTCATTTTAGGGCACCATTGCACACAATATTGCGGAATGCCGATGTTGTTTATGGTGCCTTTTAAGTGAAAATATAAATTTAAACCACATCAATGAGCAGTGGTGTCAGTAAATACACGTCTGTTGTTGTTTTGTTAAAAACTGGGAGACATGAAATGTATTACCTTAGCATTGAGTCATGTTTATATGTTTTAATGATAGATCTTTTGGAAAGGTATTGAGTTCAAAACAACCTTTTCCATGGAGACAATTAATTAATTAGTATCACAGTGTGACACATCTTGTCAATCAATCAACTTTATTTATACCTGCAGGCAGATTTGCTTAGTGAAGTGATTCATCTTCTTTCAAAAAACAAGATATATTACAGACATACAGCAGACACAACATGATTAGACATGAGTAAGTGCACAATACTTATTAGATAAAACTACCCCATCTTGAGAATAATAAGATGAGACTAAATAAAAGACAAAATAAAACACAACATAACAAGGATAGACAACAAAAAACTATGCTGAAACAACGCTAAAAACTGATGGCAACAGGAACAAAGCTATTTTAAAACTATTAGTTTTGTATTTTGATGGTAAGTATCATGTATCCTAATGGAAAGTGCTTGGACTTGCAGTGCAGATGATGAAGCACAAATTTTAAAATGGATCCAAATCACCTCTGTAGCTGCCTGGAGTACAGGGACTCTGGAGGTAGTTGCATCTCTCCTGTCAGCCTACTGGACCACTTCACTGATTGGTTCAGGCAGTTTTGTTTTGATATAAACGGATGAAAAGTTTTCTGATGGAAAGCCCAGTTAGGGTTAGGGTTTGCCTCAGAGGTCAGTCCACAACTGTAGACCAGAGGTTTCAAAAGTTATGTTTACATGGACATAAGTAATCAGATTAAACGGCCATTCGGAATAAAAATGCATCATGTAAACACCCCATTCAGATTATTCTGACCCGATTCAGCTCGATCCAAATGAATTTGTAATCTGAATGAGAGAGGTGGTTTATGCCGACTGATAATCCGAACGATGTGCATGTAAACACTTAATGTGTTCATCTTATTTTGATTGTGGAAAACTGACCTGACTGCGCATGTCTGCTGACTTTCATCCACCAGTTTCTGCTCTTTTGTGGAGGGAGGAACAGCAGCACTGTAGTGTCCAGCAGCAAAGAACTTTTCCTCCAGTTTTCTCATTCAATAAAGAACACAGCCTGCGCCGCTTCGCAAAAATAAATAAATAAATAAATAAACAAACAAAAAAAGTCCGCTCATCACCTGCAGCTGAACCAGAGAGTGCAGTAACGTCTCCACCATTATTAAAACCTGTCGCAGGTCCATTCTGAGCTCAGAAGCTGTTTATGTTCGTGACAAAAGTAAAACTTTTTTCTGTGGTTTTCTTTTTTTTAGGGAAAGTTAGAAACTGCATGTCAGTGCTTCTACTCTGAATAAAAGCCTGGTGCATGTAAACACTCGTCATGATCGGATTGTGTCCATGTAAACGATACATTCTGATTATTTAATCCGAATACATTTCAATCCGATCAAAGGATTTTGCTCATGTAAACATAGCGACTGTTCTTTAGTCTGGGACCCCCAGACTGATGGAGAGACAAAGTCTTTATGTATCATTATGTCTGCAGTGTTGTAGACATATCGCAAAAATTACATCACTAATAGGCTCTCAGCCAATTACTGTGAACCTGACAGCATGGATGGGGATGGGCCCTTCTTTTTGTGTGCAGAACGCATGAAGGCTAATTCAGCTTGCGTGCTCACTGAATGTGTGCATTTCTAACTGAAATACATTAATTTATGCCTCCATTTATCACTTTGATTCTTTTGTTGTTTATAATTGTGAAAATTTTCATTTTCAGTGGGTCACAACCCCATTGTTGAAGATCACATACTGTGACTCTACCTGTGTGTTTTCCAGGTCTGGGCGGAGCTTGTGGTTACCTGGTGGGAGCGATGGACTGGGGCCACTCGGTGTTGGGTCGCCTGTTGGGCTCAGAGTACCAAGTCATTTACTTCTTCTCAGCGCTCACCTGGGGCATCTTCCTCACCGTGCACCTCTTCAGTATTCCAGAGAAGCCTCTGGACAAGGAGCCGTCCGTGTCCGACTCCTCCTCGCCCAGCGCCCTCCTCCTGCTGAGCTCGCACAGCAACGGTTACGGAGCTCTGAGCAAGGAGCCCGTGTCTCCTGTGGCCCCGGCACCTGCTGGAGACCTCAGGCCTCGATCCTTCTCTGCTCTGGGAGAAGCCAACTCAGTGACATCCAGCGCCAAGCAGCCAAACAAAGAGGTGTGTAAATATTAGGAAAAACTTGTATTGGAATATTTTTAAAAGCTTCCAGTCCTAATATTGATTCTTAAAAATAATCAGGCATTTGAAAACAGATTAAGGACTTTAATGTCATCAAGCAGTCAAACTGAAAAAGCTTCATGTTATTTTGCAAACTGATTACCAAACATCATTGCAAACCTTATCTCTCAGAAAAATACTATTTTCTGACACATATTTGAGATGTTTACCTGATAAAAAGCTATTTTCTTTTGGACTTTTAATTAAGTTTTTAACAGATAAACAACTCTTTGAGAGTTCATTCATGTGAACAAAGAAATGTGACTCATCTGAATGGAATCTGTCACAGAAGAGAAAAAAACATCAGAAATGTGCCTGACCAATGTTTCATCTTAATTTTCCACTAATTTAACAATTTCCTCACTCAGGAACCACTGCACACATTTGTGAAACTTTAGAAAGTAATCATTTATCTACAACTAAGTAACTTTTGGGACAAACCTGATCCAAGATGGCTCTAACTCATATCCTTAAATCCATCCTTTACCATAGATAGTTTTTCTTTTGAATATCCTTTATTTGACAGCTACATTTAAAAGCTTCAAATAATTTGTTTCTGCATATAGTGTTTGTGTGCCACTCCACCTCAAGATTAATGCTAGCCCCCATCTGGCTATCCATTGAAAACGTTTCAAAGGCACCTCTGCTTTCTCCCTCTCTTGATAATATCTTGGTTTGGGTTCAAATTGAGTTTTTGGAATGCAGGTTTTGGAACACGCAATTTAAATGAAAAGAGCTTCAATCGTTATCTCCTCAAAACTTACCTTCAAAACTTTGATTTTGTTCAGAAAATTGTTGTTTTATTGTCCTTTTTCAGAATTGCTGGAATCTCAATTTAGATTTTTATTCTGCCCAGCGATCAGCCACAACAATGACACCAGGTGCCTGTTATTGTGGAGGCTTTCAGGGGTTTTGTGGTGCGCTTTAATCCTCCAGAACGGTGCAGTGAAAGACGTGAAAAAGTGGAATCCATGAATCCCAGAACCTGATGTTTAACATTCCCCTCCTTGCCAGCCGGTGGTTTTATTGTTTCATTGTTTGATTTCAGAACAAAGTTCCTATTCTGACTTTGTACAATTAATACTTTTACCAAAAATGCTGCTGAGCTGACAAAAGAAAATCACTGTTTCAAAAGAATGTAATTGGAGCTGTAAGTCAACTTTTTAATGATGTGACTGATTGCTGCAGAGCTTTTTCAGATGGTCATTATTCATTGCATTGTTTTGATCTGAACCTCTGTAATGAAACTCCTAATTAATTCTAAATGAGATCTTTTGTCAATCAAAAATGACTTTTTTTATTTATCCGGTCTGTTGAAACAATAAGAAAAGAGCTAGCAGACAAAAAAAAGGCCGATTTCTTTTCTGTCGGTATTTGCAGAATTTCAGCGTTTGTGTGTGTGTGTGTGTGTGTGTGTGCGTAGGATCAGAAGAAGATGACTTTCAGGTCCCTGATGAAAGCCATCGTCAACATGCCGAGTCACTACCGCTACCTGTGCATCAGCCATCTGCTGGGATGGACGGCCTTCCTCTGCAACATGCTCTTCTTTACTGATTTCATGGGACAGGTCTGTTTGAGTCTGAGCTTCACATGATGCTGTTTACAAAAAAATATATAAATATTCACATCACACAAACCAGCTTGAGACTGATAATCAAATTCTGCAAATATTTCTATCATAATATTAACCAAACACAAAAGACAAAACAAAATGAATGGGGTTCTGTTCTGCAGTTGAAGATGTTTTGTCTCTCATTCGGGGAGTTTCTCAGTTCTTAGGATTTCCATTCCTTTTTAATTTTTTTTTACCTGTTTCTTCCTTTCAGAGTCAGGGGTGTGACTGGTGCCCATAAACGTTAGTCACTGTGCGAGGGGCGGGGTACACCTGGACAGGTTGCAAATCCATCACAGGGCCACACAGAGACAAACAATCACTCACAATCAGACAATTAGAGTTACCAATTAGCGGTAATATTGTGTTTTTTGGTCTGTGGGAGGAAGCTGAATATCCAGAGAAAATCCACACATGCACAGATAGAACATGCAAACTCTACCTCGAAAGGTCCCCGGCCATGACTTGGTCCTGCAACGTTCTTACTGAAAGGTAATTCTTAGAGCTTCTTAGCTTTAAAAGAAACAATTTTCAAGTTTCAGCTAATCTTCTATGGAGCTAAAAGTGTCTCAGTATTCACTAATGCACACATGTGATTCATAAGTGCACAGGACAGGATTCAGGTAAATATTGAGTATATACTGAGTCATGGGCAACTTGTGTTTTCTGTATTTGTGAGAAGTGAGATTCTTTTAGCTCCATACATTTCCTTTAAGAAAACCTAATTACCAGGTTATTCTAATGGCATGCTATAATAAATTAGGAAATATTGTTTATGTAGCTCCTGTTGTTTTCAAGTCAAATTTGTCAAATTTTAGATTATTTTATTCTTTTATTTGAAGCTAGGCTTAAGGATTTATATAAGAAAAACTAAAACAATGGATCACACTTTACTAATTATCCATATCTAAATCCCCATAGAAAGTCTGTCTCATCCTGAAATAACTCAAAGCCGGGACACCAATTGATTTATTATTTTTTTTAACTTACTGCCACTCATGATGATTTGGTCAGAAATCCTTTGACAAGATAATTTTATCCAGAGGGAATTTATTTGACAGCTTTCTTTAATGTGAAGCTGGATGATGTTAGAGGACTTTTAAGGACAACAGCCTACTGCTACTTTTGGAAGCTGTAGACTTGGTGTTTGAGAAAAGCTGTGGGTCCATGTTTGGTTAAAAAAACAAAACATACAGCACACATCAGATCTCCTCTATTTTCTAGGTTGCTACATGATGACACATCCATCGATTATGGTGCTGCCTGCTTGAAACTTTCAGTGAAGTTCTCATGTTGCTTTGCTCAGATTTTGATGAGATTCTGTATAAGTCATAAAAAACAGGAAAAACTAGGCAGGGGTCTTAAAGGGATCCATGATTAGTTGTAAAACTGGACTTTATTTGATAAATATATATTTCAACTGTAAAATAAAGACTGTAAGAATACTGTAGGCTGTTTAGTGTGTATCATTTTTAAAAATATATTTTAACACTGACGGAGCAATTTTATTTACACACAAAGCATTCTGGGTAGATGATGACGTGGATAGATCCTCGGTGTGAGGCTGCTAGCGAGCTATATCCATCCTGAAGATTAACCTTGGACAATATCTGACGGTCGGTTCTTTTAAATGAAACCAGAGAGCGTTGACAGAGAGGAGAAGGTAGAAATGACTCAGTCTACAACTGAAAATAAAGATGGAGGACAACAGAGCTGCTTCATGGAAGAACCTCAGCTTAGCCTGTTCATGCTAGCGCCAACACGATATTGCCTTATACTGTATGTATTAGCTTGGTGCTAGCACATCAAACTAACAACCTAAACTGTTGTCCTCCATGCATATTTTCAGTTACAGGCTGAGTCATTTCTACCTTCTCCTCTCTGTCAACGCTCTCTGGTTTCATTTAAAAGAGCCGATCATCAGATATTGTCCAAGATTAACCTTCAGGGTGGATATAGCTCGCTAGCAGCCTCACACCAAGGACCTATCCATGTCATCCTTTACCCAGAATGCTTTGCGTGTAAATAAAATGGCCCCATCCGTGTAATATATTTTTAAGCTTTTAGTTTAAAAATTATAAAAACTAAATAGACTGCAGTATTTTTACAGTCTTTATTTTACAGTTAAAATATGTGTTTATCAAATAATGTCTAATGTTACAACTAATCATGGATCCCTTTAAATAAGCATTCATATGAAGTGGTTAGTTATATAGGAAAATGGTGAATATAGTACACAGTTCTGAGCCACACAGTCATTGCAGACACCTGGTGCCCATTTTGACCTCTTACAATGTATTTTCTGTAAAACTAAAGCACAAATATACAAAGTCCCTGCAAATTTATCTCCCAGGAGTTTGTGTAAGCTTGTGATTCAGTGTAATTGCAAGAGAAAAAAAATTGACATCTTTTCTGGCAAGTTGGGATTTCTAACTAATTCCCAACAGTAGCAGCTAAATAAGGCTTTAAGAAAGCTCAGTTACACACAGAGAGAGAAAAAAAAACAATGCAGTGACACTCTGTGGATTTAGTCTGATCAGACATGAGATGATATAAAGCTGATGATCGCAGCCTGGGTTTTCACCTGATGCAATAATTAGAACCAGCTGAGATTAAGGAATGCACAACCGGGACAGATTGTATCCAAGCTGTCTCCCTCCGACTTGAACTCACATCATGTCAGTACTCAGTGGGACATTTTGCCATGTGAGTGTAGGTTTGACTGATTGTCCGCAGCTGGAAATGCTCATTATACTGTGCTGTCACAGAAAACAAAAATACCACCAACAACACTTTAAGGGCTTCATTTCCTGAATTTAATTGCACATTTATGGATAATTCAGCTGCCTTTTGTTCAGTGTTGCTCATTTGTGCTGCAGTCAGGACACCCCATCAGAAAACAGCTCTACACATCATTTATATGAAGCCTGACTGTGGGAAAACTCATATTGTTTTTTTCACTTCTTCTTCCATTTAATCATTTGAAAGATTGTTATTTTTAGCACTGTTGCCTCACCAAAAAAAGGCTTTAAATCTCAACTTGAGCCTTTTTCTGTGTTATTAGCATTTGATCCAAACCTTGTTTTTCTCTAGTATTTTTCATCCAAAAATATTGTCGAAGAACAGCTGGGATCAGCTTTAACCTCTCTGAGCAGGATGAGGCAGAGGTTGGAAATGAATAAATAAAATGTATGTAGACTATAACAATTAATGCCTCTCAAATGCACTTCTCTTTTTTATCTTTGCATTATTTGAGTTATGCCCTGTAGTCTCTGGTAAACACCACTCGCATTCACAAACAGTTTGTTGACGAAGCTTCCAACCAATTAGACATTAATGAAATGAAGCTGTAAATGTGTCTCAGTGTCAGATGAGACAAGGTGACAAAACAACCAATTTGACGGTGAGATGAGGAACAGAACGTTGTGATGTTTTGATCTGGTTTAATGATTTGTGCGTGCAGCGGCTGATGGTGGGGACAGTGGGAGTTTTGTTCTGTTCTTGTGTGACATGAGTAATCATGATAAATGTTTTGAGGCTTTGAAGTGTCAAAGTGAACATGCTCATCAAAGAATCCACATCCCGCTCTGTTTCTGTATTTACTGCCTCGGTTCATTAACCACAGATTCACTGGTTTTCTCTGTTTGAAGGCTTTTTTTTAAAGTAAGTTTTGTGTGAGCTGCCGTTACTATAAAAGAAATAAAAACACAGAAGGTGGCCAATATCATGTCAAGCTTAATAAATCTTTGCACCCTCAGTAGTCCATTGTTGTGTCACAAATAAAATAAAACAAGACTTGCATGTGTTTAATATTATGATCCTGCCCACATCGAGGTGGTTCTCTGCTCGTTAAAAACACAACCAGGGTCTGGTAGAGTAAGGTACAGGGCGAATGGAGTGGGGGCAAGCCAAGCCAGGCTTACAATGCAAAACCTAAAGTGAGCACAAAATGAGCTGAGGTACGATGTCGGCATTAAATGATGTGCACAGCCAATAACTCCAGTTTTGCAAGTCATGTATATGAAAATGGAGAGAAATTTTCTAAAAATGTTTGCTCAGAATGCAGCCATTTAAAGTTTCAACAACCCAATAATCGATGAGACTTCATCGGGAAATCTGAGTATTTTCTCTCAGTTTTGAGTCATCAGCTATAGCATCCTAGCCTGGTCCTTGCCTTCCTGCACAGTTCTGCTCAATTCTAGTTTCCATTCACTGCTCAGTCTGGCATTTCTCCCATAGACGAGGATTTCGCTGGCAGATTTTTAGCCGAACCAATCAGAGAACAGAACRTYRATTTTCTGTGCAGTGTCTGCTTGTAGTTTATTTTACCTGGGCCAATCAGCAAACAGAAGGCGGAGTTTTGAACTACGTCGATTTTCTGCACAGTGTCTGCTAGTTAGTGGCAGTGGAGGAAGTGAATGAAGCCAGTCTGAGTTGATAAGGCTTCCAAATTAAATTAAATTTGTCTGACAAAGCAGCAGCTCTCATTTACAGCCGTCTCGTTCGGCTCGG